CACAGTCTGAAAAACAAGGTAGTCCTGAGGGCCTAAAACTGAATTACACAGGCAATTGGTGACAGATGTAGTTTAGATCAAAACACCTTGTAGAGACGCTCAGGCACGCTCTTCTACCACTGCCATGTTGACCTGATCTGAAATATTTCCCCAAATAGCACGCTGAGCCTGAACCAAAAAGATCCAGGACAAACACACCTAAAGCTCACCTGTTTGACTTAAAATAACAGGTTAGGAGAAAAGTTCAGACCTACCCAGACGGTGTCATCTTGTCGGTACTGCTTCCAGTTGCGGCCAGTGTCACTGAACATCAGCATGTAGCTGGTTACCCAGTCCGAGCTCCCATATCTTCCTTGTGTGGCAACCGCGACGATCTCAACCCTGTCTCCTAGATCAATCTGGAGCCACTGCTGCTCGTTTGAGTCGAGCGGAGACCAGCCACCAGCTCCTGAAAGAAATTGGAAAAAGGGTAATGTAGAGAACAAGGACAACAAAAAAAGTGATATTCTAGAAAATTCCAGATTCCTGAGAGTAAAGCTACACATCTCTGGTTTTGTATTAGGAAATATGCTACCTAGTGCACTGCTTCTAGGTTTTCTTTCTTAATCTTCAATTCATAGGAATTTTGAATTTCTAAGAAATTTCAAGAAAACCTAATATTTGTCGGCAAAACAGATGTCAGTGGTGATGACACCCCGCATCAGTGAGGTTACACATCAGTGAGGATGACATACTAACAGGAAAAAAATGATACCTGTTCCTTCTCCTACGCTTGTGCAACTCTACAAATGCAGATTTCTAACTTTGCATGTTTTGACTTTTTTTTTAAAAAACATTTTGAAAGATACCCAAACCATGTATCATGATTTGTGCCCTATGAAGTACTTCATAGAGGTGTTTAATTAGAGAATACAAATGCACCTGAAATAGAAAGTCATCAAAACTGCGCTCACATCAGAAAATAACCTCCTTCCCTGTACAAAATGCTTCTTAAGTGACCATGCATTTTATCTTAAACAAAACAAAAAGCAAAGCCTTCATCAGGACAAACATGACTCCCTTCAGGAATGGAGACTTTAGAAGTGGTTCATGGAAGTTGATATTTTATAACCAACTATAACTAATCCTAACAAATCACTACAACAATCATGATCCTATGGTTATAAAAGCAAATCCTCCTAGATTGGAATATGTTCTCTTTTGTTGCCTTGCTTACTCTTATACTTCTAAGTTATGGACTACATTTTTCTTTTACTTTGTTTCTATTTGCAAACACCGATTCTCTGTATACACATTATTTACCTCAGCTTACAAATAAGCAAATAATGCAGCTATGAAGAACTTAGAAGCCCAACTATCCAAAGCAGCAAACTCAGACTGTCACAGCTTCTGCAACCCATCAGTGTTTAAAAAAAAAAAAAACACACTTGAATAGAATTTCAGTGAGTACAATATGTTTCAGAGTCGAGAATAAGGCATTAAAAATTCCTCATGTGAACTATGAGAAGGAATCTAAATATGCATTTTCTTTGGAAATGCATCAATAACATTTGGTTATAAATAGCAGAATTTAACTCTATTTTAATTCTATTAATTGAGCTGTCTCAGAGCTGCTCTGTGAATATTTTATTGAGCTGAATTGAATCAAAGATCAATAAATGTGGCTGATATCAAAGAACTCAAATTTCAGCAACTTTGGCCTTTGAAAAATAATTTTAATTTTCTTGCCCACACTGGATTTTCCAACTCACAAATAAAATTCCTTTGTTTGAGGACAAGTTTGCTCTTTTTGCTCTCTCTTTTTTTAAAGAATTTATCTTTTTTAAAAAAATTATTACTTGCATTTCATTAAGATAAGATTTAGACTCAGTATCTGAAATAATAGTTTATTCTATTGCTAGAACTTGGTATTGTTTTCTGGATGAATGGCTTGTCTCCTCTATGGGAATTCTTAATATACAATATACACTTACTTGTTTCATGCTTTATTTTACCTTTTTTGATCACAACAGAGCACTATAGCCATGGTGATTATTTTCCTTGCCTCAAATAGGATACTCTCTTCTGTAAGCATTACATTAAACACCTAACCAGAATATTAATAATTTCGTCACTCATTTCATATTTATTTCATTCCTAACTCATCACAGATGCAGAGATATACGTAGAAAAGACTGTAGTATTTCCTGCTAAAAACCCTAACGCTCGAATATGTTTAGCTACATATATATATATTGTTATAAAGAGACAAATTCTAAGACAAATTCTTCAAAGATACCCATCTGTATCTCATCTCCTACAAAGAATTGTGACTAACATCCACAAGAGCTAAAGGAAAGACTGTACTGTAATATCTAATGCCTGAAATAGATTCTATAATTCAATACTAGCTGATTTGTTCACAGTTTTATTCTAGAACAGGTAAGACAGAACAGAAATTCATTTCAGAAGTGCTGGCAGGTTTTGGCACAAAGTGTGGCACACCTTCACCACCCTAAAGAGCTTATGCTGGATGTTTTCTGTGAATGCTAAGAGAAAGGTACCTAATTTTCCTCTTTCCTCCATTGCCTCTTCAATCAGTCTTTCTGCAACATAAACAGTAACTAGATGGAAAAATCACTCATAACAAGTCATTTACTTGATGAGCTACCCATGAAAAAGCAAACAAACAGAAATCATCACCATGAATATTTCCAGCAATTCATTAAGCATCTAACTAGCATCTACCCTTTACAGTTTATGCGCTCGCTCTTCTGCTCTGAGGAGAAGCAGCAAGGTCACATGCTTTTCTTTAAAGTACTGGGGGAATGGGTGGTTGCTTTCAAGCGTGAGGACAACACAGCAGGTTTATAATTTAGGAGGTAAGTCAAAACAGTGATATACATTCAGCGAACATCTGGGAGATCCGCAGTGATCTAAGGTACTCAAATCACTGGTTACCTACCTACCATCTCTGAACTATGTATCATTTCATATGGGCACATTTCTCTGTACAAAATGCCATTCTTTAGATTTAAGCACTGCATAGCACAGCAACAACACTTGCTGTTAGCATCATCTCTGCAGGTTTGCTTGGCTCTTGCAGGCCAGAAGAGCATCTTGCAAAAGAGACAGGTGTTAGATTTTACAGCCCCTGTCTTTGCATAACTGCAGCTGCCTTCCCCACAGGATGAGAACAGAAAAAGACACAAAAAAGAAAAAAGATAATTAAAAAACACCCCATTTCCTCTCTCAAACCTCACATCTTTATAATTACTATAGATAGACAGAAATTCTACTAACTTGTAAGATTAGTAGTTAAAATAACACTGCACCAAAGTTACATTGGAGGCTTGACTCAGTAAGAACCAAGCCTATTGGTTTCCCCTTGGGGCTCTCACATCTGCCAGTCAATGAATAAGCAGATACAACTTCCATGACTATCCCAAATCTACCCCTATGATTGTCAAAATAGATAAGTATTCTTTTTCTCCACCTTTATGTGTGCTACAAAGCAAGCATCAGAAAGCATACTGGTATCTTTGTCCAGAATGATCTCTGCAGGCACATGGCTTTTGTACATATTGTTCCTTTAATGTCACACCTCACCCAAACATTTTACTAACAGAAAAGCATATCCAGAGTTGTGCCATTTGCTCCTCCACTCACCACTGATGCTCACCCTAGGGAAGCATCATTGAATAGGACAGAATATCACTTATGATTAGTGCAGCATAATTACAAAACAAAGCAGCATTGATTACAGCCACAGCATACAGATATTCAAGTTGGTGACCTGAAAAGTTATAAAATATTCATGAGGACACCAAATTGTCTCTCCTATAAAAAATATAGGAAAAAGAATGATCAAACTCTTCTTGTGCTTGGCACTTTACAACATTATGCCTGAGGAGTGTATATGTTTTCCTGCTCTGCTCACGAGATCCCCACTGGCATTGTTAGGATCCTGTACAACCCCAAAAGGCTATGCCAGGATTTCTCACAGCCAGCACAGCTTAGGTTTTCTGCAGGTGATTTGGGGAGGGAGGTTCAACACAACAGGGAGAAGTCGCCCTACTGGAGAAGCCGAGGCCCAGGATGCTGGTGCACGAGCTCATATTCTCCATGGCAACAAATTATAACACTAGAAATACAAGAATGAGGATCATATGGTTTCTCAGTCGGAGACCTAAAATAACTGGAAAAAAAATACAGTCTAATACTCTTTACCCCATTTTTTCAAACTGTTTGTACATTTTGCCATAATTGGTATGAAAATTGCACTTCAGTCCAGTATTACATCATCTGTGCTCCTTGATGCTGCATGAGGCTGCTTGGGATGCCCATTCTTACTTGGAGTTTATTAATATGGAGCAAGTGAAATGCTAGTTTTCACCCTACAGTGCCTTGCAA